TGCTACATCTAGAAGCCAAGCACAACCCCAATAGTGGAGGATGAGAGAGCTCAAACAAAGGTCAACAGTGTCCTGGAAAACAAATTTCTGCTCGGGCTCACTGGATTTGTAGCGTGGTCAAATGGTTGTGAAACAGCTGCGTCGTGTCTCTGCCAAATGTGCAGAGGATGAGAGCGGGAGGAGTGTGTGGAGTCTGTGGACCTTTTCATCAATATGCCATTTGATCTTTCCAAAGTTTTTATGAGGGAAATGTAAAATCACAAGCAGGTGGATGGGAGGTGTGGCTGACTCAATTTGTAGTCTGTCAGAGGGTAAAACCTCATAAACCAGAGCCCGTACTTTTGCTCGATTGAAATGCAGTGCGCTCATCGTTGACCGTCTGATGTCACCGACAGTAAGATCTGTCTTAAGCTTTACAGAAACACAGTCAGGAGTACGAGGTGGAGAGGAACAGGACGAGGTCCAGGGGAGTGGTCACAGGTTATGCAAGAAGCATCACTGTTGTGTCCTTCTTTCAGGTGCTCTTCTAGGAGGAGTTGCGAGCAGTCGGACAGAAATTCCTGGTGGGCATTTCCAGTAGTAATGGTTGTCTGTGGCCACCACATGTATGGAGGGAATGAGCCCTCCATGTCACTTATCCTTGCAAGACATTTCTGGTCCTTGTCATCTGTGATTATCCTACCCTCAAGGAGCCTCACATCTGAGCAGGGGACTGGCCCTCGGCAAGATCAGATGCCAAGGCAACACAAAATGGGATTTTTTAAAAGCCGGATCACAGGTTTGCAGGGCTTGAACTCGGCCTTGGCAGCCTTGTTGCATGCTGCCAGGTCCTTGCATTTCCTTTCGTCGTTTCATTGCATGTCCAAAAACAGCTTTGCTGTTGTTTTTGACATTTCTAAGGACCTATTGGTGGCCTTTGTGTTTCCAAGGCCCAGAGCCATTGTCCTGACGCGAGTTGGAAAGATTGTCCGTCTGTAACAGAGATCTCCAAAGCTTAAGCTCCCGATGTCGTGATAGCACTGCAGCTTCTTTCTTGCCTTTCAGGGTTTTGATTTTCGGGTCTCCTTGTAGAATATATTCCTGCCCCTCTGTCTCTTTCACATTGCGCTCCTGCGACTCTCCTTTGCATTCTGGGCACTTCTCGCCATCTCTTTCATGCTCAGTGGTTTATTGCAGACTAAGGAACATCTCTCTTCCTCAACATGGTCATGACCTCCACCATCTCCAGGTCTCTTGTCAAGTGTTTTCACTTCCTTGATTCTGAAAAAATGACTCCATGGGTCTCAGGCGGGCTCTCATGCTATTGCTGACCTGTGGGACATTTTCTCTGGTGATTGGTTGTCTGTTTCTGTTATATTCTTTACTCCTGACACTCAGCATTGTATCTCGCGAGTTTATCTTGAGCATCAAGCTGCTGGTCCTGCTATATAATCTGGACGTCTTGGAGTCTTGGAGGCCTGCTGCCTTTGCATAGAAGGTCAGTGGTTTCGGCCTGCCGATATAACTGCTGGCCTTCAGCTTTTGCGCTTGGTCTCTCTTGACTCAGCCCTGACCTCTCTTGTCCTCATTCACTAACTTGTAGTCTGAAGTCTGCGGATTTGTCGAGGCCCCAGGCTCATCTCTTCAGTGATCATGGTTGTTGGTCCTCGCTGCGTATTTGCATCGCTGACCGTTTGCTATACAAACTGCTGTCATCATCCGTTTAACAAATTTGGTCTCATTCTGGATGGGGATTTGTAATGATCAGAGATGCATCTTTGAAGTTGTCGGTGGTCCCGTCGTTGATTAATGGAAGCTGTACAGCGGAGAAAGGAAGCTGTACATCTGGAGCTTTCTCCGCTAGTAAGGGCCAGCGCGACAAGTGCACGCAATGCAGTTGATTTCGTCCTGACCTACCTTGAACCTGTATCAACCAATCAGGTCTGATTTCATCCTGACAGACCTTGAACATGTATCAGGTCTTTCCCGATATTGATCATGTTTGTTGAGCTTGTAGGATTATTTTGTGATTCCAGAGTCATTCTGACCGCTTCTGTGAGTGATATCAGGATTGCTCTCGACCTGTGTTTGGAGTTTCACTCATGTGACTCAAGCAGTACTTGTTTCCTAGCGTCACTTATCATACTCCACCCTGCATGTTCTCCCAGGCCCTCTGGAGCAACAGAGGCAATCTTAATTAGCTTTGGGCGCTCATTCATGTGACTCTTCACACGGTTATTGCTTCCTAGCCTCACTTGTGATACTGCACCATACATACTGATTCATACGGTGTCCCCTTTGGAGCTGCAGAGACAATCCTGCATTGTGTAAATTGTCCCATAACTTGGGGCATTGTGGATCCTGCTTATGAGGAAAAGGGGACACAGTCCTCGTTTGCATTGGTGCATAGCGTAGGATGCCTAGTCCCATGTTCTTCATCCCACAGTCTATTGGGCTCCCATAGGAATGGTGAGGACGGTAGTGGAGATCAGGACAGTAGTTTTGTAATTGTTGTGGTAAACACTAATCAGCGAATGATAATCAGCCGCAAACCAAAAAGAGGTCATCCTGTTTAAGTCTAGAAAATAACAGGGACAGAAATGAGTTGGACCATGTTACCTTGTGGGAGATAAGGTCAGGTCAAATTTCCCGATGGCCTTGTGAGTAGTATGCCAAGTCCAGACTCCTTTGGTCACCTTTGTGTTATATCCATTGCTGCCCTCTGCCTGAATCTAGCGCGTTGTGCACAAATGATGTGAACTTGGGCTCAGTGAGTTGGTGGGCAGTGGTCGAGTTGTCGACAACTGACGGCTCAGTTTCTCAAGGCTGAACTTGACTGATCAACAAGGGAGGCACATGTTGCAATTCACATGGATCGCATGTTGCGATAAGTATTTTGTTCAGCATCCATGGAGCCTGGGTTATAACCTTAGCATGAGTTGGACTTGCGAAAATGAGCGGAGGTGGCAAGACTTTGATGCAGTGCCAAAATTCTCAAATACACGGGTAGGTCTTATCAGCATTGGAGTGCGAAAGTCTGCCGTCCACCCCATGAAGGATTTTTTTCTAGGCTGCCCCGGCGCCCGGCCGGTTGGGCCCGGGGGGGTCCGCCCGGGTGAACCGGGCGACGCAAAAACAGGGCCAGGAATTTTATTTTTTTTTTCCTGATGGTGGGGCTGTGCTGCGCTGCACTAGAGGACCCCGAATCCGCAATAAAAAACTGAACTGGGGGGGTTGGTTGTGGGGGTGGGG